CCCAGCTGTAGAGGTGGTCAACAGCACCAAATTCTTGGGGGTGCACATCACAGACGCTCTCATGTGGAATGTAAACACCACCTCTCTAGACAAAAGGGCACTAAAACGCTTATACTTCCTGCCACCTTCTACAGAAGCACCATAGAGAGCGTTCTGACCAGCTGTCTCACTGTGTGGTGTGGAGGCTGCAGCGCCTCAGACTGGAAGAAGGTGAGAAGAGCAGTAAGAACACCAGAGAAGATCATTGCGGCTCCTCTTCCCTCCATTAAAGACATTTCATCCCACCGCTGTTTGTCCTGAGCCCGTAACATCATGAATGACCCCTCACCCCCCCACCATGGACTGTTCTCCCTGCTGTCCTCTGGGAAGAGGCTTCACAGTATAGGTTCAGCAGATTCTGCAACAGTTTGTTCCCCACTGCAATCAGACTGCCAAGCTGTTGGAAAACTCTAAATCATGTAAAACACTCTGCATAATACTGATAACACCAAACCAAAACACTATTTAACATCTATTTAATGCTCTGAACTTCCATATCAATGCATTTTTTGCACCACGTTTTTTTCTCCCTCAATGTTTGCATTTGATCACTGCTGCACTTTAAGAAATGGAAATGTCATGAAAGCTGTACAAAACGACTATAAAATTTGTGTAAGTCTAAATCTAATAGCGTATCATATTGGAAATGAAAAAGTTGTGTGTCGGGACACCCCTATTAATTCAGTTTATTTATATAGCACCAATTCACAACACATTTCATCTCAAGGCACTTTGAAATTCAACCAGATCATCCAGTCAAATGAATTAAAAGTTTTCTAAAACTGGAAAACCAGTTGATTGCATTGACTCATTGACTCAAAGGCAATCCCTCACACTAAGAATGCTTGGAGCGACAGTGGAAAGGAGAAACTCCCAAGAAGAAACCTCCAGCAAAACCAGACTCAGTGTGAGCGGCCATCTGCTGAGGCCGACTGGGGTTCAAGGAGACAGAAGCAGAGATACGAAAGGCAACTTTAAACCAGCTCCACAAGCGGCCCCGTCCAGGAAACATCCAGCCAGGCACAATCAGAGAAACAGGACTACACTGAAAAACAGGCCAAGCTTGAACATCTATAAACAAAGGCGTTGATGGCAGCAGCACAGCTGATATTTCTCTCCATGGTGGTGTCACAGCCAAACAAGAACACACAAGATGAAGCTACTATGATGAGAAAAAGCACAGAGAGTAGAGGTTTGAGATTGAACTAACAGATTCTGCAGAGTAGGATAATAGAGATAGAATGAAGCAGAATGATGTAAAAGGGGTCCTTATGTCTTCCAGCAGTCTAAGAATATAGCAGCATAACTATAGAGATAACTCAGTTTAACCTGAGCCACTCTATTTAGCTCATCCCTAGGCCTTATCAAAAAAAAAAAAACATTAAGGCATATAGCCTTTGTTTGTTTTGTCTAGAAAATCCCATCATCTTTATACATGTTTTATAACAAGATATTTAAAGCATATTAAGAATAAACTTACTCTAACTTGCAGAGTTTAAAAAAGTTTGGGGATTTTTTTTAAACATTTGTGCACATAATAAACGAGGCAACACACACACACACAAAGAATTGGAAATCCACTGGAATTTTTAGTTCTTGTGACTTATAATTTAACACAGAATATTTTATATATCAAATTTAACTAATGACTGTACCACGAGTAACCATAATGTAGCCCATGAGAGCAGACATGGCAACTTTCTCGATTACACGGTTTTACCTGTAAAAAAACAGCAGAAACCTTTTAATTTTCTTTACGGAATAAAATCCATTTTTAGTTTGTAGTCATATATATTTCTTTTAATTGTGCTTTTTAAATACAATATGTATTTTTATCCAATTATTCGGCGTTGCAGCTGATCAATCTGCTCTCTTAGGTTTATCTGAGGACGCCCCCTGGTGGCCGATTCTGCTCAGCAGCACATCAGCGGCGCCAAACTTCAGCAGAGCAGGAGCCACATGACAAGCCTGCTAGCAAACCACCGCTTCTAGAGGCACCGGAACCATGTTCGTTGCTCACAGGATCGCAGCTGACCATAAAGATCTAATCCACGATGTTTCCTATGATTTCCACGGCCGGAGAATGGCGACTTGTTCCAGCGACCAAAGTGTCAAGGTGAGCTCTATGCTAAAGCTTAGCCTAGCATGTTAGCATCTGCTCCCCATGTTAGACAGAGCTCCTAAAATGAACCCACTAGCCTGTTCTGACTGGGGGAGAAGAGTGTAAACATGTTCAATAGAGACAGCTTTACCTCACAATCAATGTTAACGTATCAAACCGACAGCCATGACTGAGTCGAATAAATGACAGAAATATATGTAGATTCTTTAGAGCTCTGTTGAGCTATCGCGAGACTAAATTAGATTTCATGTTTCAGGTGTGGGATAAAAGCGAGAACGGAGAGTGGCAATGCACCGCCAGCTGGAAGGTAAACAATCACCTCCTGCTTTCTACAACTTCTCTCAGTCACGTGCTTCACATCTACTGTTTACAATCTTGCTTCACATAAACTAGGGGCCATAAAGATAAGCTTTGGGGGCCTTTTCAGGGATCACATTTATATAATAATAAAATTAATAATTATTGAACTATTGATCTAAAGCAGAGGTCAAGGACCCCCAAACCGATTGTGAGATGGAGTGCGGTCCCCCTAATTATATATATTGTATGAAATAGTGTTATATCAAACTGGTCCTATAGTCAATCTATTACATATAGAGTGACCCTGGGATTATTTAAGTATTTCTGATTCTGATGTCTTGTTGATGGGACAGGTGTTGTGAATGAAACAGTGCTTGAAAGAGCTCCTGTGTGCCATTGAATGCATTGAAGACTGAAATACATCTTCTGCATCCATTTATCATTTACTACAGTGTGATGAATTTATGTTAATGTGTATTTAAATACATTTCAATTAGCAGAAAAAATTGCAGGGGGAATATGAAAAAAAAAAAGTGTAATCAACCAAAACTTTTGTGACCCCAATGAAGTAACTCCTTGGACCCCCTAGGGGTCACGGACCCCCTGTTGAAGACCTCTGATCTAAAGTGATTGGAGAAATTAACTCTCTGCATTAAACATCCCCTTGGGGAGCAGTGGGCTGCCATTGCAGTGTGGGGTTATGGGTCTTGCTCAGGGACCCAGAGTGGCAGGCCGTGGAAGTGGGTTTTCAAACTCAGAACCTCAGTATTCCAAGCTCTATGTCCTAACCACTAGGCTGCTGCTCTGTCAGACCAGGATACCCATAGTCAATACTCATGCGCCAGAAGTCAGATTTGCGTTTATCCCTTAAAGTTTGTATGAAAAATACACTTTAAACTACCACAATGGGCGTGTATCGCTTTAGTCATGTACACAAAAAAAGGTTAGATCGCCATATGCTTCAAAAAACACCAAAAAGGAAGTAATTCAATTATTTTTTTGTACACGATTAAAGGGATACACGCCCATCGAAGTACTTTAAAGTGTTTTTTTCGTACAAAACTAAAGGGATAAACAGGTTTTGACTATGGCTATGCTGGTCTGAACAGGTATGCTCATCTGACAGAACACCACAACTCCCCTAATTAACACACATGATGTGTAATGGTTTAATCACTTTTTTTATGGTTCAGAATCTAAAAACTTTCAGAAACACTGATCTGAACCATTTATCCTTTTTCCAATATCAGCATTTTTTTTAATAGCTGGTGAGAAAACACAAACTTGTCTGCATGATATCTGTAAATACAGGTTTGACCATAAAACCGATAATAATATTGGATCTTGGTAACGGCCCCTATTTTTAAATCTTCAATCATGATACTGATTTTTCTTTCATTCTTTCGGTTGTCCACCTATGATCTTTTTCCTTATTCCACATAAATAACTGTTATTTATGTGTTCAGAATTCAGTTCTTTCTTAATGCAGTTAAACTGGTGTCAGTCTGAGACCCGTTCCCTGTTCTGACCTGCAGACACACAGTGGGTCCGTGTGGAGAGTAACCTGGGCTCATCCAGAATTCGGCCAAGTTCTGGCCTCCTGCTCGTTCGACAGAACAGCCGCTGTCTGGGAGGAGATTGTCGGGGAGTCCAACGACAAGCAGAGAGGGCTGAGCCACTGGGTTGGTAAAATAAGTCAGAAGCGGACGGTCCCATTCTTCTCTGTGGATTGCTTACCCAGTCTGTCCATGTTGTTCCTGTTCAGATAAAGAGAACCACACTAGTGGATAGTAGAACATCGGTGACAGACGTGAAGTTTGCTCCTAAACACATGGGTCTGATGCTGGCCACCTGCTCTGCGGACGGAGTGGTGAGGATCTACGAAGCCCCTGATGTGATGAACCTGAGCCAGTGGTCCCTGCAGCATGAGATCTCATGCAAGCTAAGCTGCAGCTGCATATCATGGAACCCTTCAAGGTTAGATGGCTTCATTTACTTTGCACTAGTGATGGGTCCAGCAGCCCATATGCATCGGTGAATGCATGGAGCCCATAGAGCTTATCACTGTACTGGTGCACGTGTCGTTTAATGAATGTCATGTGACCGATACAGGAGTTGGTTCTAACTCACTGACTCATTAAACTATGTTTAAAAACATGATGCATCTGCTAAAAATCTGCATCTAAAAATATCAAAGATATTTTCAATTTAAACATAGATATTAAATAATATAATATGAGCTACAATAACTTAAATGATGTCATTGTACTGGCCTAGGTCATGAAATGAATTAAATGTAGTCTGTCCACTAAGCTGCCTGTAGTGGCCTTAAAGGTCCAGCAGGTGTCAGTATTCTGTGACTGTATCAACGCAGTATCAATACAGTTTGGCAATGTGTTGAAAAGCTTCAAGATGCCTCATTAACCATCACAACTTTGCAGCATGGATGAAATAAAAAAAAAAAAAAAGATTTATTATAAGTTTGTATTTTTCCGACCTGGAAATGCACAAGGGAATAGAATCACTGTCTTCATATTGTAGGGCTGTGCGCTGATAGGGGTTACGCCATTTTAAAGGAGTGTTCAAATGTCTAGAGGATGAAAAAGTAGTGGACTCTTAAGTTTCCCAATGCACATTGAAAAGTAGCATTATGAGCAGATATTTCCCAGAAAAACAAACATGGGTCGACCCGCTAACAATCAGCATTTTGCTCCCTTCCCATTGGCCAAAAAAGCTGGGTCTGACCCTCGCTGTCAGCTGCGTGGCCTCTGTCCCCCTGCAGCTGCGTGTCTGATGACATTATCACGCTGGGTTAGTGGTGATGATGTCACCAGTGCATGCAAAGCTGGTTGCTTTCCGGGTCGTTTGACCCAAGTAGACATGCCCCAGCGCGCTGTTCTCACCGCCACTTAAATGCTGATTTTTCTCAGGTTTAAACTGTTTTTTTTTTTTTAGGCCAGAAAGAAATGTGTAAAACTAATTTCTTTCTGTCCAGAGAATCACTCATGATAGTTAAAAGAGTGAAATAAGTAAATAATCCAATTAGAGCACAAGTTGACAATATTTAAGTTATTCTTTTGAGGAGGAAGAAGAAAAATCTAAAACAAACAAAAATATGCAAACAGCATTTTGAAGACAATTTGCTTCCCATCCAGGAAGCCTTTTCAATTTCGAAACGTCTTCAAACTTGGAAACAAAGTCCAGTAAGGACGTTTTTTTTTTTTTTTTACTTTTTTGGAATGACTATGACCTGGATGACTGAGAATCTTCACCAGCAAACAGCACTTAGATAGCCTGCTGACTAAGTATCGATACCTTTCAGAGTATGGATGTTTGTTGACAACCCTGGAATATTTTATGAATTCTTTTTCTAGAATAAAACTACAGTCGGATAATAAGAATGTTAGTCGCCCAAAATAAGAAAATCCTTTTTCACTCTAAACAAGCTAATGTGGGAAGTTGCAGATTAAATATTGGTCAGAACACAGTTTGTGTTCATTTAACCCAACAGGTTCCCTCAGAGCATCAGATGCTCACATTTACAATGCTGGGTTCTCTAAACCCAGCAAATTGGGTTGTTAATATGATTATTTTATACTTTATAATAGTTGCTATAGTTATTATTTCACTATATAATTATAATTTAGGGCTTAAACAATAAACCGAATAAACAAAAATTAATTAAAACAAAAAAAATGAAGAAACCGCAAACGGAAAAAAAAAAACGGAAAAAAAGCCCTTAACCGAAAAAAGCAACCCCCTAAAACAAGAAACAAACCAAAAAAAAAAAGGAAAAAATTAAGAATAAAAAAAACTAAAAAAATGTTCTCCCCTGTCAACATGCCAGATCCAGAACTCCACATATGGAAAAGTTTTAGTTTCACCTGGTTTAATTCTGTATAAAATCTACTTTGGCTATCCAGCTATTAATCCAAAAATAATCGTCAGATTAATTAATTATCAAAATAATTTTCAGTTGCAGTCATATTATAATTTTATTATATTGTAACTATTACTTATTATCATAATTATAATTTTCATGATTTCTTTTGATCTGATTTTGGTTTTTCTTCCTTTATTTACATGATAAAAATGACACAGTGTTAAAAAATGTAATTCTTAATATAAACCAGAGAGAAACAATAAAAAATGAAACAAAATGTTCCCCCTGGAGCGAGTGACAACACACGGCATGAGCGCTTTTTCTCTCAAACAATGAGCCTTGTGTTCATAACTCCATATAGTCCATATATTATAATATTTTTGTAATTATTACAATATATGTTACTATATACCAATGGAGACTTTTGGTGGGTAATAACCATCATGTTACCACATAACAGTTTCTATTATTGGCCGCCACATACTAACAGCTTACAAAGTAAATTGTAACTTGTGATCAGGTTAATAAAGGATTATAGGTCTGAACTCAGGTTACATATAAGTAAGAGTTTATTTAAGAAGATTTCCTTGTCGTCTTCTAGGTTTAGTTTTCTGTTATATGCCAAGTAATAAACTGCATTTTTCTAGATAACACGTTAATTTATTGCTTTAGGTGAAATGGCTGATAACGGTTTGAC